GGTAAAGGTGAGGGGCAGCCCCTGGACCTGCTGGGGTTTGGGGGGGAGAAGCCTGGACTCTGGGTTCTGGCTGTGGCTGGGGAGTGGTGTCCAGTGGTGTGGCTGGGGACCTGGCATGTTTGCCAGCACAGCTGGGCTCTGTTCCTGGCGCTGGGGTGCGTGGGGGTCTATTTAACGTTCACTGGGTGCATTTGGACAAGTCTCTCTCCCTGTGTGTGGTGAGGGTGACGTTCCTGCCCCCTACGCGGGGATGTGCTGAGGTTTTGCCCTTGATCTGTCCGTCCGTCCCCACGTGGGGCCTCTTACCTTCCCGTCCAGTGCTCTCCCCCCTGGGGAGGGAGTGACTCCCAGAAGGGAGGGTCATGGCCAGGTAGGGTGGAGAAATTGCTGCTCTTCCCCCAAGCTCTGCACTGCCTTTGGCTCTTCAGAGGGTGGTGCAAAGCCCGGGATTCACACAGCGGCCAGTTCTGAGCCCTGGTCCCGCGTGGGTGCACGGCTGCGGCTCTGGCCTGTGGGTGAGGCTGCCTCCAAGCCCATGCCCCAGGTTACTGTGCTGTTCCAGCCTGGGGCTCACCTGATGTTCTCCTGCCTTCCCCTCAGCCTGGATGGCCATGCTGTGCCCCTGGTCGGGTTCCAGACACTGAAGACGAATCTTGATGGGACGCAGCGGGTCTTTGACATCCACAGTGCCCTGAGGGAATCGGACAGTCCCTGCCTGCTAACGTCCTCCACTCGCCCTGGCCAGCCGTCCTGCACAGCCTCCTTCCATGGCTGCATACGCATCTGCGAGAGATTTGGGGACCCCAGCAGCGGGAGTCCTGGTCAGGCCATCATGGCCAGGCCAGCTCCCCAGGTTCCAGAGGGCCTCCGACAGCGTTTCCTACCCTTTGGGGGCAGCCCAAAGCCGCGGTGTCTGGAGGGGGCAGCGTGCAGGAGGAGCTGGGGTCTGCCAGGAAGAAGAAGAAGAAGAAGAAGAGAGTGAAAGAGGAGCCAGTAGAGCTGCCAGTGTCAATAAAGCAGGAGCCTCCTGAGGAGTCCTGGGGTTGGGGGAGCAGTGACTCTGGCCCTGCACCTCCTGGAGGGGAGGAGGAAGGTTTGAGGGGGGCAGAGGAGGCCATGCTGGGGGAGCCGAGCCCCAGGCACAAGAAGAAGCGAAAGAAGCACAAGTACGAGGCTTTGGAGGAGGCTACCTGGCCAGGAAAGGTTGAGCTGCTGGACCCCAGCTCGATAAAGCAGGAGTTTGAGCACTCCCAGGAGTGAATGCAGCCAAGGCTTTGGGGGTTGGCCGTCAGCACAGAGTGGCCATGGGGCTGGAACATCCCACCCCATCCGCTGCGGTGTCTGCCTGCTCCAGAGATGGGACTGCTGACTTCACATGGGACATCTCCTGCAGCTGGATTATAGTGCCAGCGTCCCTCTTTGGGCATTAGCTGCATCAGACCCCCTGCTCCTTGGGGGCCATCCAGCGATGCCAATGCAGTGCCTGCTGCCATGGGAATGAGGGGGCAGGAGTGCCTGGCTGGCGACTGCACGGCCAGGCTGTTCTGGGCACACTTGGTGCTTGTGATGGGTACTGGCCAAACCTTGCTGGCTGCAGTCTAGGTGGCTACTGGATCCTGGGAGGGACCATGGAGAGTTCTGTTGCATCTCTGTCTTTGTTTATAAATCCAAGTATATGTGGGGACTTGTTCTGTCTCCTTTCATTGTCATTACTAGAGGGTGCTCCCTGTTGCCAGTGACCATTCCCTGGGGGTAAGAGGGCAGCTAACTCCTCCTGGGGCCAGGCACCCCCATTCCTCCACTGGGGGGAAGGATTTAGTCTGGCGCCTTGCCTTGTCTTTCCCCAGGGCTGGAGCTGGGAGGTTCCTAGTAGGCATGTTAACAGAATTGTCGAGTAGCCTCATGAATTCTTATGGGTTAGTCAACTATTCTGTAGTCCCTGGGGGTGTGGCCGGCAGCCAGTGCGCTCGCCTCACTCCCAAGAAGACCCCTGCCAGGTGTTAGCTGGTCTGTGAGGGGAGCCAGTTTAAAAACCAGCTTTCCTTGTGGACTGGCTGCCTGTCACCCTAAGCTGCTGCCTCTGATGAGGAGGCAGCGGTGCGGGGTGGCAGCAGCCCCTGTCTAGGGAGAGGTCTGAGTTCCCGGACCCAGTGCAAGCCGGAACTGAGCTGGGCTGCCTGGCTGCCTGGATTCTAATACACTTTAAATGCAGAGCTGCAGTGAGGGTAGGTTCTGGACCCATCATAAGTCAGGACTAAGCCAGGCTGCTGGCCAACCTGCTAAAAAAATTACTGGCAAGCGGGGGGGTGGGAGAGAATGCGTGTAGTCTATAGCATTAGCCTATAAGCTTTTGTTTGTTAGTTGGTTAATTGACTACCCTATTACATCCCTAGTTCCTAGCAGCCCTCGGACTACAGGACGTGCTGGGGCAGGGACAGCCTTAAGCTTGGGTGTTGGAGAGAGTCATACAGCTCATGTCCCCATCAGTGTTTCCTGTGAGCTGAGCGCTTGCAAGACTGCCCAGGAGAGATTCAAATGCCTGCCAGCTAGTTAGCAGAGTGGCCAAGATGCCAACCTGTGTTTCTATTGATGGTGCACGTCTTTGCATGCCTGGGTGCACATACATTTTATTCTGCACATGGATGGAAAAAATGATGCAAGTGATGGGAAGCAGGCAGGGCCTGTGTCCCTAGGGGAGGGGAGCCAAGCAGCGCCATGGGCATAGTATGTGCAGCCATTTGGTGGAGCCCCAGTACTGGGGAGGGGTGGTCAAGGCTGCAGGTGCCCCCCTCAGCACCTTTAGTGAAGGATCAGAGACCATTGGCAGGGGAGCACCCCCGTAAGCCTCAGTGACTCCCTGTGCCCCCTCTGAATCCTGCTAAATCCCTGCCCCCCAAACCCCTGAAACCCTGCCCCCCACTGAATCCCTGCTGCAGCAAGAACAGTAGCTGTGCCACGAAGAGAAGCGCCTGTCAATCCACCCCAGCAAGAACAGTAGCTGTGCCACGAAGAGAAGCGCCTGTCAATCCACCCCAGCAAGAACAGTAGCAGATACCACTAGTCCAACTCGAGGGATTTTATTTAACTTGCCTCTTTTTAACTCCTAACTCCCAGGTATAATGTGTGGTGTACCCTACCGGGTAGCTGAACAGTGCCCAGGGTCTCTGCTCTACCAACAGCAATGTCAATTGGAATTGAGACCCTAACCCCCTTTACCACAGCTCAGGTGCTGCCATGGTGGGGAGAGAGCTGGGGGAGTCCTTTCTCCCCTCTGTAGTCCTAGGGCGGCCTGCACCCCAAACCCCTCATCCCTGGTCTCACCACAGCTGAAGCCTTCACCCCTTCCCATTCAACCCCTAGGCCTGAGCCCCCTCCTGAACCCGTCATCCCCAAGCCCTCCCCTGAAAGACAGCATGCTTTCACTCCCACACACTCCAAACCCCTTTGCCCCACCCCCACCACACCACCTCCATATTGGTGAAATACCAAAATTCTTTCCAGACACGCATGGGAAAACTAGAGGGAACAGCTCACGGCCACCCACATTTTTCAGTCCTGGTTCTGGGGCTGCCCTGGAGCCCTGCTCTGTTCCTGAACTGCCTATAACTTGCTCCCCTTCTCCCAGCTCCCTGGTGTGTGGCAGTGGCCATGTTTGGAGTCAGTAACTTCTAAGACAAAAGGGGGATCGTTTGGATGAGGCCTGGGTGTGCCTCAGTTTCCCAGTGGGTGGGAAGGGGCTGTCTGCTCTTTCAGGGTGGGCTAAGTCATGGGGGTGAATGGCATGCAGCTGTCTGGGGCTATGTGGGTCTCTCACACCGATCAGGAGAGCATCTGAGGGGCCTAGATGCTGATGCTTAGCAACCAAGGACCCAAAGCGGAAGAGTCTCCCCAGGGGCTGAGCTGCCTCTCCCTAGCTCGGTGGAGTGGGAGCTAAGGGCAGGCTGGTGGGGTCTGGCTG